GGGGGGATGAATGGGGGGGGTAGTACCACCCCAATTATTTAAAAGTGGCCATTTTGACACAACACTGATCTAGTCAGTCCATCTGCATGTTCCAACATGGTCTCTGTAGGGATGAGTCTTCCTTTCTGGTCTGCCCCTGCCCTTTGCCATTCCTCCCCCGGGGGAGGAAATTTTTCTATTCGTTTTTAATCTGTGCGTGCAATTTGCTTTGCAGACAAATTGTCCTCTTTCCTTCATGCTGCTGAGTGGTTCATTTTTCAGGCCAACAGATTGTTTCTTCATATGGGGTTAATCTGCTTCTTGCCGCACTCCTTTTATAAGAATGAACTCAAAGAGTAAGCTGCAAAGCCTGGAAATTTCCACACCAAGACTAAAATCCCCAAATCAAGTCATTTCTCACCCCCAACCTGCCAGCAGAGCTCCAAACCTAGGAATTAGCAGCATCTCGAATAGACTGTATTGAAACAAATGTCCTCACCCTTTTGATGTGCATCTAGAAGAGTGAGATTGCCACAGACAAGGCAGGGGAACAGCCCGGAAGTGCCCCCAGCCCCTTTTGTGGTCCTGGAGTCCCCTGCCCCACTCTGCCAGAATTTGGCAGCACTCTCGCCTCAAATCAGCACTGTGGTTTCCTGCCACTTAAACCCTTTAAAACAATCCCTTAGACGGTAGGTCTCCGAAATTGGCAGGGAACCCCCCCCCGCCCCCCATGAATGTGACACTTGCTATTTTCTTAGTGGAGTTGGCCGTATAAAGGAATTCAGTCGAGTTGGAAAAGGGAATTAGTCTACGAAATTTCACGGGGGTAGGAGAAATATCAGTTGCTCTTCCTGTGTGATATGTGTCATCTGAATTTGAAGTTTCCCTAATGGTGTTGTGACAGTTTTCCTTTCCTTTTCCACTCTTAAATGACTGCAGTTCCAAAGCGTGTTCTTGTAAAGAAGACCCACTAAATGTTTTCCTTCTCGTCTCTCCCACAGACGTCGTCAACCTGGATCTCAAGTCTACCCTGCGGGTTTTATACAACCTGTTCACGAAGTACAAGAATGTGGAGTGACCCGCATCTCTCTAGAGGCCCTGAAGGGCATCTGCTTTTCCTTCCTCTTCTATCGTATGTTCTACTTCCATCAGCCTTCCCAAACTTGGTGGCCTTCAGCTGGCTTGGTCAGCAGTTCCCATCATCCACAGCCAGTGCGACCAGCTCGAGGATGAAAGTTGCTGTCCAACGTTCTGGAAGCAGCCAGGATGGGAATGTCTGATTTCCATTTGCTTTCTCTCTGTGTAAACCCTCCGTGCTTTGAGCCTTTGGAAATGTAATTGAACTCGCTCGCATATCCATGTTATGCTTCTGTCTTCTGCAAAACTAGAGTTGCCAAAGTCTCCTCTGCTCAGCAAAAGTGCCTTATTCCAAGCTGCAAGCTGGCCGGGCATCGTTGCGAAGGAAGTGCCCTGCGGGGAGCTTGGATCCGAGGCATCCATTTCTTCTGAGTTTCTCCACGTCTCACTCCTGCCTTGAGGGTCTGAGGGGGCTTTGGATAAGCTGCTCCTGTCCCATCGCCTTGGCGGTGTGAGGGAAATAGGGCTTGCAGGGATCCTGTAGGGCAGGGTTCCTCAAGCTCAGCAACTTGAAGATGGGTGGATTTCAACTC